CCCAATCCTGCCGCCTGTGCCAGGAGCGTCCCAGCACAGGTATCCCCTGTCTCAGTCAGGATTCCCATCTTCCAAAGAATTTCTTTGGTTTTGTCCTTGACTGCTTTGCGGCCGTCTTTGCCACTTTCTTCCTCTCTTTGTGCTCCTTAATCTCATTGAAGAGCTTCTCACTGGTCTTGAGGAGGTCCCCCATGACGTACCATTGCAAATCTTCCTCGACAATGACTTCCCTCCTCTGAGGATCGAAGCCGCTGAAGTCCTCATTGGTCAGGGCATCCGCTAGGACGTTTCCATCCCTGCTCACCCATGTCAAAGTGGCAAAGGCATCAAGTCTCCTCAATGTCTCTGCCACCTCAATCACCAAAAGCGTGATGGGGTACTTCGTTGACAGCCCCTTCTTCAGGATGAAAGCATTCCCCCTGTTGTCGGTAAAAGCTTCCGCACATACTTCGGCCGCCTCTCCTGGCCTCTTCAGCCACAACCTCAAAGCGATGAGGGTTGCCATCAACTCCAGCGCTGCGATGACTCTCTTTGGATTTCTGCCTCTAAAGTAAAGCCAGGGCGCACTCACTTCCGTGATCTTCAAGGAAAACCACCGGCATTCAGCGCTGTTTGGGCTCTCCTCCAGCCATCCGCCAACCCAGGCATCGCTCTCCGTGGCTTTGGCGTCCGTCCAAATCCTCAAAGGTGCCCTCACGGTGCCCCGGGGCCTCCTCACTTGCTCCAGCCTGCCATCTGATCCCAGCCTCTGCGCAATCCAGTCAAGGATGAACTGGATCGCCCATGGAATAGTCATCGCACCCTTGTTCGACTGTATGGCAGCCGACCAGGCATAAAGGGGGCCCAGGAGAGGTTTCTCCCATGGCAACGCCAATGCAGTGAAGCCCAATCGCCCCAGGCCAGCAGCAAACTCTCTGTACGTGACCTCCTTCCTTGCCCTCAACGAACCAACCCATTCAACGATCCACGCCGATCTCCTCTGGGAAATACCCATTGCATAGAGCTTGTAATCGGTTGTCAAACCAATCCACTCAGTGATGAGACCTCCCCTCTGCTTTGACCACTTGAAGGGCGCTCCCAGGGCGGCCATGAGGGAAAAAGCCAGGACTCCGCCAATCCTCCCAACACGCCCCACTGTCAACACCTCCAAGTCGTCAGCGTACAGCAACATGTCGTTCGGAAAGCTCGGACCTAACACCCAGTAAACGGCCCTCATCAGCGCAGCACTGAGCCTTGCCCACCAATAGGGTGTTGAAGCTATCCCAAAGGTGCCCACTTGGTTCACGTAGACCACCTCCGATCTCGAAGCTGCCTTGCAAGCCAGAAAGCCCTGCTCCTCCCGCCTATACTTGAATCGGCGGTGGGCTTTGGCGAAGTCACCCACCAATGACAGGACTGTCAAGTGTTCCTCCTCGTACTCCTCAAGGAGGGCACGCTTCTCCCTCGGACCCGGCATCCTCACTTTGTCTCGGCATCGTATTCGGTGATTCACCTTGACGCCGTGCGTGCCATCGTGGATGACCCGTCTCTTGCCAGTCAACTCGTCCTCCACCAACACTGCGAGTGCTGCCACTGCACGATTGTGCCCAAAAGTCCTAATGAACTCTTCCTCTGACATCTTCACCATCAGGCCTTCAGACACTTCCTGCTCGAGGTGTTCTACAAGATATCTTTCATGCTCCTCAGCAGAAACATAGTTGCTCTTCTGCCAGACTGCTCCACCCCAGTCTTCTCCTTCAAGATTCCACCTCAACTGCTCTTCAAAGATCTCGGGCGTGCGGGGTAGATCGCCTAGCACTCCCACGGGCAGCCCCGTCTTTGCTTCCTCAAGGAACTCCCAATCTGGATCCCCCGCTCTCTCCAGGACCCTTTTCAGAAGGTCTAGGAAAAAGGGCTGCCCCGCCTCCGGCTCCGATTGCACTGGGATGTCCAACTTCTCCCCCAGCACCTGTCTAATCTTCCTCAAGAAGGCCTCGTCACGTACCAAGCGAAAGCTCTCTCCTCCTCTCGCCATCCTGAAAGCCTCCTTCTCGACCTCAGCCACACTGCCCATCACCTTGACCGCCTCCAGCAGTAGATGGTGCCCAAGCAATGACCATCCTTCTCCCTCCGGCCTCTTCCTCTTTTCTGAGCGCCACCTCCCTGGTGAAGCCAGTCCTCCTCCATCGTGAAATGGGGCGTCCAACCCTTTCCACCTGCAACAGCGCGGAGGGCCTTCTCCCCCCGCCACCGGTGGGTCCATAGGGTCCACCTCAAGTCTCACCGCCTCCTCCGACCCTTTCTTCTGCGCTTTCTTCTGGGCACCAAGGTCGTCCTCCGCCTTTCTCTTCTTCGAAAGCTCACTCCCCCCAGACCACTCTTGCAAAAAGGAGGTGAGCAACGCCCATGCAGTCCACCGGCAAAGTGCCGGAGGCCAAGCTGCAGACTTGGCCGTCTTGAAAACCCCCTGATGCTTGCCGATCAGAGGGGCGCCCCCTGAAAGGCGAGGGAGTGGTCCCAAATACCAACCATTGCCATCAAACTGTGGTGGCCCTTCATGCATGGCTGGATGCAATGGTGCAAATAGCCGCATCAGAAACCTTGTGGGCTTGGGCGATGAAGTGCCAAAGTCCTGCTGTGCGAAGACCACTGTTTTGACTCCCTGCATTGCCAGGAGTTGTTCAAATTGAACGAATTGCCACATGGATGCGGGTTGATGTCCAGGTATTCTATCATTTGAGGTGCGCCCCAAGTCTTCTGGTTGTTCCATCAAGCCCACCCGTCGACTGCAAGCAAATTGGCGCTTCAAGGCCTCATAGGAAAAATCTGCCAAAATAGTTCCAAATTCTGCTTTGTGAAACCTATCCCCCTTGTTCCAAGGAAAACCTCTCGGGAACGTAGAGCTCCTCACCGGATACGGACCCAGATCATTCGCCCATACAGCTCGCGAGAAAGTCGAACAGGGAGGTGTGACAATGACTGCAAAGAATACACCTTGAGCGATCATCTGCAACCATTTCTTCTGTACAGCTGGTAAAGTGAAGTCTGACCGACGGTCGGTCTGGATGTCTAACTCCGTGATCTCCACTTGGACATCCATTCGTGGTGCGAGCCTCCTCAAGAAACCTGCCACAGAGTTGCGGCGCCTCCTCCCTGAGAAGACGTAGAGGACTCTGAGAGTCCTTCACCGGGCCCCATCCGTGTCCGGTGGTACCGCCTCCTTGCGGTTCTTCGGATTGCATTCGTAAAGCGGGTGCTTCTCGCTGAAGCATATCCCGCACACATGGCGATATTTGCACTTCGCCATCTTGCATTTTTCCCCCGGCGTGTTGTACCGGAAGCAGATCAATTCGCCATCTGGCGTGTGAGTGGCACAATGCTGACCCCCTTTACCTTTGCTCTTCTTGCCCTTGCCTTTGTCCTTGCCCTTGCCACCCGTTGCCTCCGTGGATCGCCACTTGGCATCTGGCTGCTCCCTCCATGGTGGCGTAGGCCGCTTTGCATACAGAGCAAGGGGGGTGGTAAAGTTCCGCTCTTTGATTGTGGAGTCCTTCCATGCCATCTTCAACGCAACTGTCAATGGTTTGCCCTCTGTGTTCGTGATCTTCACTGCCTGCTTTCTGATGGCCTTCTCGTAGGCGATGATCAGCTTCCAGGGTGGTGCAGCAAACGTCTGACCCTCTGCATCCTTTGCACAGAGCCCATACACATAATCCCCCAACAGGTAGTCCTTGTACTGCTCCACGGTCTCCTCCCATGTGCCTTGCAGCTCATGCCTGTTGGAGTGTTTCAGTGATATCATGACCATGGCGTTCTTCCAAACTGTCAATCTCTTTCGAAGTTCTTCGGCGTTCGCCGGTTCCTGTACTTTCGTCGAGCCTTTCTTCATGGCCAATCGGCCCTTGGAGTCCCAGATGGGCACCACAGTCTCCGGCTCGCTTTCTTCTTTTGGAACGATCTCCGTGAGCTCCTCGGCACGGTATTCACCGCTTTCAACCTCTGCCAACTTCTTCTCAACATATTCTTTCGCAGGGTATATCTTGTCCTCCAGGTAGCCGTAGCGCTTCTCCAATGCTGAGCGCATAGCTGCCCATTCCCCTGCCACCACCGGGCGTGACCACTGGAGTGAGTCGTACTCGGCATCGACTTCTGCCGCTCGCTGGCTCCTCGTCTTTGCATTGCTGAATGCACACACTATGGCGGCCACCTGAACTCTCTCATCCAGTGTCCTCTCAGAGTCCAACTCCCAATGCTCCTTCAACACTGCTGTAAGATCCTCACGATCCTTCGCAAAATTCGACAGCTTCTCCAGTGTTGTAACACCATGGTGGAAGAATAACTTCTGGTTGTCAATGCTCACCTCGTGCCTGGACAGCAGATACTTGAGGTCCGCGCCTGCCGCTTCCAAGGCTCTAGTGCCCTCAGCATCCGTGAGGACAGCACGAGGCATGCTCGCCCCACAGGCTTGAGCCCACCCTCTCTGGACACGCCGGCCAGATGTGCAGCATGCGATGCCGCCACGACACTGCTGTGCCTATCGTGCATGCTATGCACAAACCGCTCACATGCGATGTGATGCCCCCTCTCTGCGTGCTGTGAGGTGCGACCCCGCCTCTTCCGCAGACTCGGGCTCCCGTGCGCAAGCGGCGCTCCGCCCCAGTGCCTGAGCGGCTCGCTCAGCCCGGGGTCCCATCATCCTACTGCCCCTCCACAGGTGCTACCCATGGCTTGACATGGACTCACCGCTCAACCGCCCCTTGGTGCGACCAAGGGTTCAACCTCATGCTCTTCAGAGCCTCAATCCCTCCCCAGCAGCCGTTTTAGTCGCTGAGACTCAGTTCGTCGTGTGAGTCACTTGTGGACTCGCTCAACTGTCCGCCACCACCACCCCAACACAATTTGCATCGGAGGGTGTACACCTCGGGCTCTGGCATGTTCTCGTGGACCTCTGAGCTCACGAAATACCTTTTCTTTGCCATCCAGCAGCCCTTGCTTCCCAGCCGGTGGAGCGTCCCCTGGCCAGCACGCCTGTACACGACCACGTAGTTGCCCTCACTCTCTTCTTCAAGAGGGTCACCAATCTTCCTCTTCTTGGGGTCCTTCTGTGCCGGCTCATCTCCACCCTTGTCGCTCTGCGAGTCATCATAGATTGTCGTGTCGTCCCCCGACAGTGGAATGACTGCTTGAGGCCTGCCTTTCGCCCCGATCTGGTCCTTCCAGGCTTCGACTACACTCTCGGCCTGATCCTCAGGGACCGTCCACTTCTCCGTCAGCCACGCCTTGAGCTCCTCCAGGATCGAGCCCTCATCCAAGTCCTCATAGGCGGTCTCGCCTCTCAAGACACTGACCAGTTTCCTCTGCATCTTCCTCACGATGGCGTTGTAGGTCCTGACGTAGACATCTGAGCCCTCAGGGCACCACCTCCCTAGGTAGTCGCGATCGCCCTTCTCCACGCCCAAGGCCGCCAAGCCGCTCGGCAGGGTTGCCCTTTCGCTATGTTCGGACCAGAACCTCTCCCATCCCGAAGGAATCAACCTACCTTTGTATCCCTCCAGAAGTGCCATCGTCCGAGCGCTCCCCGACACTGCCTCCGCATACGTGACATGCGAGACTCCATACTTCGTGCCATAGAAGCAGCCCTCTGGAAAAACATAGATTCGGTCCCTCGGCATCTTGAGCTTCACCAAATCAAAGCCAACTGCCAGCCAGTCATCCTGGATCACGTAGGCATCCCTCGTGATGAAAATCGGCAGCTCCCGAACTCGCTTGCCCGCCCCCGACGTCTTGGACTGGCGTATGATCCCCATGAGCTGTCCATCATAGAAGCGTACCTCCGACGTCTTCAGATGCGCTGCATCGTCAAACCTCATCGAGGTCCAGAGCTTTACAAGCTTGAACCAGGCACACACTCTGACCTCCAGCGGCATTGCACCATCCACCACCAAGGTCTCCATTGGTGCCACAAAGCATCCAAGCCAGCGAGGCGCTCGCCGGACTGGTGGAGCATTTTGCTCAAGCTTCTTCGTCAACTCCTTCATCACCATCTGGGGGAAAGCTTGTGCCATCAGTTGCTCATCATCAGGAATGCCTGCCGTTCGCTCAAACCAGGCCACTGCTGTGCTGACCGCGAGGGGTATGGATGCACCCATACCCTCCTCCTCTCGTGCATACATGTAATCCACCAGCATCACCGAATTTGGCCTTTGCCCCGGCTTGCCCATAGACTCGGCCCACACCCGGAAGCGTTGCCACGAAGCCAGGTATCGCCTGACCGTTGACAGCCGGTACTTCCCAAGCAAAGCGTCCTGTGCCCTTTTTGGATTCATGGCCTTCACGATGTCGCCGAGTACAGGTGCATCAAATATCTTGAGCTCATCAACCAACTTGCAGAGGACCTTGTCATTGACTTCACCCTCTGCAGCGATGCGGCCCCCCCTCAGGCGTACTGTCCTCCCCAGCGTGCCTCGCTTGGGCAGTATCAGAGGAACCGGAGCTTTCTCCTGTGGCTCAAGGGGTTTGCTTTCCTTCTCCATGGCTACCCTGGCGTCCGCAAGGTTCTGGATGGACCTCGACGAAGATGTTCCCACAACACGGTTGTCGAGATCTGCCATCTGGACCGCCTCGCGGACTTGTCCTTTCACAAAGGACACATGCCATGGCCTGGCCTCCAACCCGAGACGTTCGGCCAGCTGCCTTGCCAGTGACTCCTCTGAACCATGGCTGACAGCAAGGCGGGGGCCGATCAATCCTATTTCGGTGAGGAGGTTGAGCATTTTGGCTCCATCTTCAGGATCGGGGGAGCAAGCTCCCCCATCCATCCCCCTCACCAAAAACAACTTCACAAACCCCTCGAGCCTACAAGCACGGTAACAAAAATCTGTCATGACGAGTCATGAGTGATTTTCATTCCGAGGGTTTCCTTGCTGGCATGGGTTCTGACCTCGTTCACCCTCTCGTTCACCCTTGTTCCGATACCTCTTTGCAACTTGTGTGGTTTATACAAGTAAAGTGTCCAAGGAGCCTGGTCCAAAGAGATGTCAAAGGACCACACGCAGATTAAGAGCATAGCTAAATCATTGCGTTTCCATGCGGGAAGCTGGTTTTTACAAGGACTATGCCGGGGCCCCCCTATGTTCCTACTATGCCGTGACTTCCGCGGCCGAGTGTACCCTTCTCACTTCCTGCCGCTCTCAAAAGTGATCCCTCGCAGACTGCCGTATGGCGCCTCCGTCATCAATGATCTCACCACACTCTCGTGCTTCGGCCAAGAGGTTGTCACAGCCCATACCGCCATTGGCTTGGTTCAGAATGAAGCCTTGGCAGCTGGTGGCGCAGTGGTGACATGGACTGACACTGATATGTCGGAAATCAAAATGTGGACCCCTCTCAGAAGGGAGCATGAAATGTTAACTAGGTTTAGAGGCGTGTCGAGAGAAATTTGTGTATGTTTATATATATATATATATATATACAAATATATATATATATACAATTGACCACAACAAAGTGTGTGATCTGTTCAATAGGATTGCACTCAAAGTACAATAGCAGGCAATATGCTTATGCAGTCTGATACTCTTGCTGCTCCTGTGCATTTGTGGAGGATCCATCTGTTGAAGGAGTGTGAACTTTCTCGCAAATCTAGCTGAGATGGCCCACCGATTTGGTATGTATATATCATATATCTGTCTGCGAAGATGAAGATTCATGATGAGGGGTGCAGTCAGGTCTCTTGTGTGCTTGCCAGGTAGGATTCAAGGTTGAGATTGCAAAGATTCACAAATTGTGATCCAGTCTCCACACAACGCGCCTCAACAGTCCTTCCCCATTGGGGGGTACTGGAGGTTAGACTAGACAGAAGACTTTGTACCAAAAACAGCGTGCACCACCGTCACAACATATCTAACCGGAATATCCACATTCCTAATTCACTGATCAAGACTGATGGAATCCAAGTCTTTATGGGTTCGAATGCATGTTTTAACCCTCTGATAAAGGTTGTGGCGCTGACCAAATGGAAGTTCGGCAGGAAGAGGATCACTCAAGATAGGACAAGAGAGATCCGGGTCTAGCGGAAGGCGAACATTAAGAGGATAAGGCTGTCCTGGTAAAGACGCATAATTCTTTAGCAACCGCATTGCGTGATCTGTTTGCGGTAAGGCCGGGCGAGACGCAATGCCCCCCACCAAACTCCGATGAAACCCCAAACGCACCATGGTTGAAGCCCCTGTTTTGGGATATCGAGGGTAGAACTTTTCTTTTGTGCTTTCCAAGTATTGAACGACGTTACGAAAGTTTGTGGCCTGATGACTTCTGGTTTTTGCAGAGCGACTTCAGGTGAATTAAAGTCAAATGGGTGAGCCGGTTGATTATCTTGGACTTTAATCCAAATGGGCATACCACGACCTGCAAAAAGTGTAAAATGAAGAACGAGTTCATATCCAGTCTCCAGAAACATTTTCGCTCTTGCAACACTCATGTGCATTTGCATGTGATGTCTTTATCCCTGAAAGCTCCTCGTCTGTCTCCTGCCTGCCCAGTCCGACCAGTCCGACCAGTCGTTTCACGCCAACTGACGTCGCTGATTCATTGTTGCTTGTCTTGCATGTCACTTATTAGCTATCTGGGCGATCTATCCTAAGAGCTCTGCTGCACTATACCAGACGAGTAACGGCTCCTGATTTGCGATCCCCTGCCACATGAGTTGGAGCACACGCCCCATTCCTTCCATTCGCTCACCTGCAGCACGTGGTCGTTTGACACGGCCCAAAACCGAGAAAAGTGTGGAGCTCGATCTTTGACCTAACACCTCTGAATTCCAACCAATGACACCTCTGTGATTGACACCTTCCAGGCTCCAAGCACCTGGCCTGGCAATGGCGGCCTCCACAAGGTGATTCATTGCAGCCACGGATCTCCTCCAATTCCTCCGGGCAGGCCTGGCTGTTTCGGTGACTTCTTGCTTTGCCAATGGCCTAAACGGCACAAGAGCCAGGCAGCCAACACATGTGTTCACATCAACAAGCACTTCAGCGAAGGCTCATCCACACGAAACTTGGACAAAGGAGGTCGAAAACTTTAGAGTCCTTGGCCACCTGTCAACCAGACAACCAGCCGGCCCCTCTAATTCCACCCAAAGCTGGTGGAACCTCGCCACCATTCATTGGATTGGCCGTGATGTGTCGCCCACGCATGGACTGCCCAACACCACAGCTGCGATCACAGTTGCCTTATGTGGGAAGACTCCGGGCAGCTTCCGGAGATGTCAACACGAAGCTGAGCTTTTGAATGGAAGCTCGTTTGCCGTGATTTGCTGTCAAGCGGTCTTTTGGACCGCGCTTGCTTGACTAAACCCACAATGATTAAGGGTTCATCCCTTTCCTGAGATGAAGTCTGAAGTTGATGAAGTTGACTTACTTATCTTCAAGACGAGAATGTGACCGATAGAAC